GGGTGTTATTCATGGAAAGATTTACAGAAATACAACATAATTTTCTTCAAATGTGACCTTTTCAAAGTCTCAGAAGAAGTCACCTCTAAGAAGGAAAACTCAGGCAGAAAATTAAGCAGTTTCTTCAAATATTCACAGATGCTATTGTTAGAACATCTACAAGAACGTTTAAAAAACAAGTAGGAAAGAAGAACTGCTAAAAACAGGAGCTAATTATTCTAAAGCAATCTCATATTCACTACTGAATGAGTACTTCATACACTAAAAGCTTTCAGACCCTGCGAAATAGAAGTATTAACCTATTACTTCAAAGATAGGAAGAATGGATACAGAAATCATGGGTGATGTTTGGAATTTGTTAGTTACACTAGAAATCAACTTGGTCTGGTTTGGCAGGAGTGATCAAAAAGAAAAATGCCATATGATTGCTATGACTTACTCTTTCTGAAAACACAGACCACATTGTCTATAGTGTAAATATGACTGAAAAAACTTTATTAGTATGTGGTTTCTCAGATGTAATCCATGGAGGACACACTATAAAAGAAGACTCATTGTGTGCAAGTACAGTTTTGCTACAAAAGGAATGCTGTTGGAGAGGTTTCAGATCCACAATGCCATTATTGCTACGTTTCAAAACTCATAAGTAAAAAATACACTGTTTTTTTGCAATATTTTCAGCATCTTCAGCTGAAACTGCAAAAATATCTGCAAGGATTTTGGGAAGCAAAGCTGAGTGATGTATCTAGATAAACTTGGAGTAATTAGACAGAAATGACAAGCTGACATAATCAGTCTGCTGGCATAAATTGTGCTTTCTGTATGGTCAGAAAAAACACTGGAGGAAATAACAGCCGCTGATAAACCTGACTAAGAAATGAAAGCATTACTCGGGACTCAGTATCTTTAAAAAATTCCTGTAGGGGTGTAGTGCCGCAGAGCTGTGTAGGAGATGTGCAATCTATTTCTGGTGGTAAGACAATGAAATGTTGGAAGTGGGTGCCGGAAAACTGGCATTCACTGGCAACAGGACAGAGTTAGAAATATTGGACCATAAGGCATCTCAGGGAATTATGTCATACAGTTGCTTTCAAAAACAAATCTAGTCTTACTTTGAGAGTACCGCATTTACTTGACTATAAGGCAACACTTAGGTTTCTTCATCTATTCTAGGAGAAAAAATGGTGAATGTAAATTCCTCCAGAATCCCTCCAGGCCCACCTGATATGACAGTGAAGATTTTTCTAGACTGATGAAAATGCAAACAGAAACCTTGGGCTTGAGGAAGAGGATGCCATTTACTCTTTTCCCCTCTTTTCTCTACTTCGTGTATAAATTAAACACAGATCCTGCAAGGGAAAATGATGGAGAAGTGATCCCACTCGCTGAAAGAAGCATGTGTGCGGGGAAGGAGATTTGTGATTAGATAGGAGAAAGGAGGGCAAGGAAAAGGCATAAAGGAGTAGGAGGAAGGAAGAGACACAAAATAGCAGCAACGCATGAGAAGTGAGGGAAGTGTGAGGTGCTGGCTCCCTCATCTTCAAAGGGAATAAACATCCTCGGTTTCCTTAGGGATTTAGGAATTTACACTCATTTGGTATTAAACCAAACGACGGCTGATGCAAGGGAGCAGCAGTAGTACCCCAGCCCAGAGCCCTGGAGGGAGCAGTGTCTGCCAGCTGCGAGTCGCCGGAGGAAGGATGTCTCTGTCCTTCCAGCTACCTTCACCTCCTCCCACTTGGAGGCAGTGATGGCAGCCATCTGTGATTATTTTTCAGTCATTGTTTCTTTTGCACCCAGTCCTTATTTTGGAAGGCTGCTCTTGAAGCTGCCAGTTCCTTGAAGATCAACAACCTTTGGAGTGCCAGGAAAAAATATTTATAGCGAGTTTATACTAATTTATTCTTTCACCCTTTAATAGCTCTTTTTGCTCCCTTGCTTGTGTTAACCTCACCCAAAATATTTGGAGAGCATAATAGTATGTCGTATTGGATTTTAGTTCGATAAGCCAAACAAGCCAATTTTTATTTTACTACTCTCAGATA